AGAACGATATCTTATTTTTAATATAGAGAACTCGTTTTTCGATAAATTAAACTATTATTAATAATATAAATTATCTAAGATAGATTCTTTCGAATAATATATAAAAGGTTTTCTATATAATAGAAATATCTAGCGTTTTCTTTATTAAGCTCGATTACTTATTTTAAATAAAAAGTAAAGAACTAGTTAATTTTCTTCGTCGAGAGAAATATAAAGAAGTTTTATTATAATATTAAAACTAGTATAGAGATATATTATATAAATAAAATAAAATTAAAATAATAAGACTATCGAATTATATATATAGAAAGAAAATATAATATAATAAAAGATATCTTTATTAAGATATTAAACTATAGAGCTAAGTAATATATTAAGAATATATTTATAAGAAAAATAAACGTAATAATAACTTTAAAATAATTAATTTAAATTTATATATCTATTATTTAAATATAATTATTATTAAAAATTATATTAATTATATTATTTAATTTAATTAAATAGAATATATTAAAAAGTTTCTTATTAAATATAATATATAGAAATTTAAAAATATATCTACTTTTATAAATATTAAAAGATATTAAATATTTAAAGAAAATTTCTAGATTTTCGAAGTTTTTTATATTAAGTATTAATTAATAATAAAATTATTAATATATATAATACTTAATATAAGATTAGATATTATATTTATAATTTTAATAAGATTTTAATAAGATTTTAATAAGATTTTAATAAGATTTTAATAATATTTTAGTATAATTTTAATTTTAATAAAGTTTATTAAAAAGCGATTAAGCGAATCTTTTATTATTTTAAATAAATTATTAATTATTAATTTATTTTTAAAGAAAATTTAAAAATTTTAAATAATTATAATTATATTAATTAAATTAATAATTAAGATATTTATTACTTTATATTTAAATATATATTTAATATTAATAGCGAGGTTATTAATTAATTATCGAAGTAATAATCTATTATAATACTCTTAATTTATAAAATTAAATATATTAATTAAATATAAATTATTAAAAAAGTAATTTAATTACGCGATTTATTAGATTAACTTACTTTTAATAATAAATAAATATAAATAATTATTATTTTTTATAATAATTAAAATGCTATAATATTAATTAGAAATTTTTAATTTCATATTTATATTAAATATATTAATATTTAATATTATTATATATAGAAATAAATTATCGCTAGAAACGTCGCTTTAGACTATATTCTTATTAATTAATAAATAATTAATAATCTTATTAAGACTCTTAATAAAAATAAGTTTAAAAAATTTTATTAACTTATTAAGCTAAAATATTATTTATAATCTTACTATTATCTAATAATCTTAATATAAGAAAGTCGTTTACTTAAAAGAATTTATTTTATTAATTTTTATATTACGAATAATCGATTTAAGTTACTTATTAAATTACTATATTAAACTTAATACTCTATAAACTCGTTATTTTATATCGAAATAGCTATTTCTTTAACGCTATTATCGCTATTATTATTAAAATTTTTAAAGCTCTTTTAAAGAATTTATATTTATTTATTATTAATATCTTAAATATTATATCTTTAAATTATTATTATTAATTATTATTATTAAAAATTAGTTATCTAAAATAATCTTCGCGGGAATTTTATAATCGATAATATATAGCTAAAAAAAATCTTTTTATTATTTTAATTATTTCTATATATATTTTTTAATCTTACTTTAATCGAGTTTTAATATATACTAAATTATCTAAAAACAATTTTTTTAAAAAATCGCTTTTTAATAAAAAGTGGAATTTAAATTATATTTAAGTAGAGGCTATAATTTAATATAATCGTTTTTAAATTTCGATTTTTTACTTTTATTCGTATAAGCGAGTAGAAATATAGAGAATATAAAGAAAGGAAGTATATTTTTACGCTAGCTATTTAATATTAATTTATCTTAATTATTTAATATTAATTTTACTTTAATTACTCGATATTAACTTACTTTAATTATTTAACTTAAACTTTACTTTAATTATTTAATATTAATCTTACTTTAATAATTAATCTAATAAAAATCGATTAAGTTATTTTATCTTATCTATTTAATTTTAAATCTATTAATATTAAACTTTATATTTATTAAATTTCGCTTATAAGAGAATATATATAAAGAAAAGTATTAAAATTCGAATTATATAACATATATATAAAGAAAAGTATTAAAATTCGAATTATATAACTCTTAGCGATTATATATATAATTACGTAATACGTTTTAATACGTTTATATTAAATCGCTCTTATTAAAACGAATATAAATATAAAATTTATATAGATATATTAAATAAGATAATTAGATATCGAATAATTATATAAATAAAAGATATTAAATAATAGTAAATATCTTTATTAAGATACGCTAGGCCTTAATAGACTATAGAGTTAAATAATATATTAAGAGAAATATAAAGTACGCTTATAATACTATTCTCTCTCTTATAGAATTATACTTTTATAATTAATAAGTAAAAGAGTAATAGAAATAGTATATATATACGCTCGCTTAAAAATTAATAAAATAATAAAGAACTTTTAATATTTAAGATCTTTAATATTTTAATATTTCTTAATAATAATATAAGTAATAAGAGTTTATATCTTAATCTCTAAATTAATATTATTTTTAATTAGAGATATAATAAATATAAAAATCTTAATTTAAAAGAAATTAATAGAGTAATAAACGAGTAATAATTATAAGTATTTTAATAAGTAATAATAATTCTTAAGTTAATATTTTAGTATAAAGAATATTAATAAAATAGTACGAGTTAATTAATTAAGAAATCTCGAATTAAATTAAATTATAAACGCTAAACTTTAATTTAATATTAAATTATATTAAAATAAGTCTCTTTATAATAAGTTATTTAGTCGATATTAATTATACTTAATAATAACGATAATAAGATTCGCGTATAACTTAATATAGTTTTAGAATATATTAGAAGTTATATTAATAAGAAGAGTTAACTTAATAAATTTAATATAAGATCGTTATAAAGTAATATAGATTTAAAATTTATTTTATAAATATAAGAAAATAAACTCGTTATAAAATATCGAATAGTTTTAATTCGTTTAAGAATACGATATCTAAGCCATTTAACGCTAGTAAGCTACTTATAAGTATTATTTATAAATATTATTAATTATATCTTAATAATCTTTAAACTCGCTATTATTCGAAGTATATTATTTAAGATTCTTATTAAAATTATCTATTTAAGAGAATCGTTAATAAATTTAAAGACGAGAATCTTCTTTACTAATTATTTAATTCGGCTTTCGATAGTAATATACTTCGATAAAGACTTAATTTATATAAATAGAGAATTTATCGATATAAGAGTTAAGAGATTAAAATAAAAGATATTATAGATCTTTATATTTACTAAAAGCTTTAAGAAATATAAGATTTCTACGAGATCTATTATCTTAAATAAACTATATCTCTTATTATCTAGCTTTTAAAATAATCGATTTAATATAATATTCTTATTACTAAGAAAAATTATATTATTTACTTTAAAAGTAATTATATAGTCTAATAAGTAATATAAGCGAGTCTATTAATTCGCTCTAAATACTTTTACTCTTATACTTATTCTTTTAAATATATTAATATTTAAAAACTATAACTTATATCTTATAATATCTTTTATATATATCTATTACTTCTTATATAAATAAATATTATATTAATAACTTTATTAACTTTAATTAAATATTATTAAGAAAATAATTCTAAGTAAAATTATATATATAAATAATATATATATAATATAATAATTAATAAATTATATAGATCTATAGTAGAAGAAGTCTTTATAGTATTATAGTATTAAGATATTAAGTCTAATCGAGACGTCTAGTAAAGAAATTCGTAATAAATATAATCTATAATTTTATATTTATTTAAATTTCTATAAATAGTAGCTATATCAACTAATATTCTTTATTTTCTACTATTTTCTACTATTTATTAATTTCTTTATTTATATTTTATTTATTTATTAATAAGAAGCTTTAAATAAGTATAAAGTAAATAGTATTTTTTATATTTAATAATTTAATAATTTCTAGATAATAAATATTCTAAGTATTTATTAATTTTAATTATAAAGATTATATAATAGTATCGCGAGAGAATAAATATTCTATTATTTTTAATAGTATTATACGATTTATTATTCTTTTAAATACTTTAAATATAATATTAATAATATATATAACTTTATTTAAAAAAATACTTTAACTTATTTATAAATATATTTAATTTTATTATTATTCTATAATCGCGATCTATATTAATAAAATATAAATATTTATAAATATTTAAGAGTATTAAAAGCTTTTAAATTTATTTTCTTAAGATTTATTTCTCTTTACTTCTTTAAATAAATTTAAATTTCTAACTTTTTAAATTTTTTAATAATTAAAAGAATTTTAAGTAATATAATAATCTCTTTATTAATCTTCTCTTATTTTTTAACTTTATTATTTTCTTTATATATATCTTTATAAAAGATTTTAATAATCTATATAATATAAACTATTAAATTTTAATAGATTAAATCTTTTTAATAATAATTTAATATAATTTAAAAAGATAAATATTTTTTAAATATTTATTAGAGTATTAATATATATAATTATATCGAAGATCTTTATTATTAGAAGATAAGGTGACTATGTTATAATTTGATGTGTGGTGTAAAAGATTGTTGATTATTCTATGTGTCTGCAGGGCAGATATGTGTGGTGCCAAGCCCACGCTAGGTAGCCCTAGCCCTAGGCCGAGGCAAGGCCTTGGCGTACCGTGACAACATGCCCACAAAGAATGAAAAAAGACACGTCCTCGTGGCATTCCTGGATAGCTACATCAAGCATGCGCCGTCCCTATGTTCATACTTGTACACCTATCCTTGGCCTATAGCCTCCATATCCTTCGCGAATCGAATGTAGCCGAGCGGAGAGGCGAGTTGAGAGGCGAGAAGCGAGGTAGAAAGTGGAGTACTGCTGAGGCGAGGGGTAGGTTCTCCGCATTCATGCATAGTGGCCTGGTGTGGAATTATGGAGAGTGTGCCCGCTTGAATAGGACTGCTGCTGTCCGTGCTCTTGTTCTTCTCCATAGTCTTCTCCGTAGATTTCTCCACATTTGCCTGTTGCAATGGCCTATGCTCTTGTTCCTGCTTCGGTGGCTGTGCCGGCTTTGGCGGAATGGCTGCTTGCTTTTGCTGTGGCTGCAGTGGTCCAAATCGCTTGTCAAGTGCCTTGTCGAGCACGTCTTCTATGAGCTTGGTAATGGAGCGGACTTGCTCTGCTGAGAAGCCGGGAATAGGGCTGCTGTTGAGAGGCATAGCGACTGGCCTATCAAAAGGATCGCTTAGTGGACGGTGGGGTCGTGTAGCGACTCGTGGGACTGTGAGTACTGGTGTAGGAGCGTACTTGGTGTTGAGGTAGGTGGGGTCCTAGGGGAGAAGTAGGCAACTGGTGTGGGAGCAAAATAACTTAATAGACGCCTGTTGAATGATCTTTAGGTGTTGTTATCATATTGTTAGGAGACAATATAACTATGTTATAATTTGATGTGTGGTGTAAAAGACTATTAATTATTCTATATATCTATAGAGTAGATATATATAATATTAAGCTTACGCTAGATAGCTCTAGTTCTAGAATCGAGATAAGATCTTAGCGTATCGTAATATTTATAATTACTTTAATTATAATAACTTTATAATTAAAAACTTTTTTAATAATTTAAAAATAAGTAAAATAAAATTATTTAATTAAGTATAAGAGTAAAAGTACTTAAAGCGAATTAATAAACTTACTTACGTCGCTTATTAGATTATAAGCTATATAGCTAAAGCGAGTATCTAATATATTTAATAAAGTCTTAAATATTTATAAGTTCTCTTTCTTCTTTTTTTTTTTAGTTATTAGTTTATTTAGTAACTAATCTATCTATTCTATTAACTATATATTTAAATCTTATAATTATATAGCTACTACGTAGTTTTATTAAAAGAGATCTTATTATCTTATAGTTTTAATAACTTTATTTATATAAAGTTATCTAGTTTAGCTATAATAAGTAACTCGCGAGTTAATTTTATTAATTTACGAAGTAGAAATATTTTATTATAATTTATTAATAATATTTTTAACTTAGTAGACGACTCTTATTAGAATACGTCTATTATATAATTAAGCGATTATAATATTAATCTTAATATTAATAGAAATTCTAATAATACTATTAACGGAAATAATAATCGCTAAAGCGTTATATCTAATAATTCTTTATTTATAAATAAAGATTTTTATTTTATAGACTTAATTTAAGTTTAATATTATTAACTTCTAGAGTTTAATATTAAGAAGTAATTAGTTATTAAAAAATTTAAATTAATCGAAATATAGAATATATAAAAATATCGCTATAAATATAGCGATAATTATTATTATAATTTAAGTTATAAAAAGATAAGTATTATTAAAATATTTAATATATAGTATTTTAATAACTATAACTCGATAATTATATTTCTTTAAGACTATAATAATTTTATCGCTTTAATATCTTATATTAATTTTTATATAAACGAAGAAAAGACTCGCTAGTCTTTTATTCTCTTAGTAAATATTAAAAAATAGATCTAGAGAAATATTAGAGATACGATATTATACGATATCGAGGAATTTATCTAAAAGAAATATAAGAAATAGTATTTAAATTAAGTTTATAATTTAATTATTAAGTTTTATAATATAAGTTACTAATTAATTAAAGTAATAATAAGAGATATATAGTCGATAGCTAGCTTTAATAATTATTTTACTATATTCTAATTATAATAAGATTGCTATATAATTAATTTAAAATATATAAAAGATCTATAAGATAAAATAATAGAGAAAATTTCTTTAAAAGCTATAAAGAAGATTATTTAATCTATTATCTATATTATATTAATATTAAAATATTAAAATATAAAGTAAAGATTATAAAAAATAAAAGAGCTCTCTATTTTAAGTAAAATTAACTTTAGTAATAAAATAAGTAATTAGAAAAATGGTAATTAATAGTATGCTACGTCTAAGAGATAATATATAAAGAATTAATAAGATTAAAAGAAGAGTTTATTCTTCTTAGCGTTATAAGATTAAAAGCCTAAGCGAATTAAATTTAAAGATAATAACTCTTATATTAAGCTTAAGATATCTCTTATTAAGATATAATACTATAATTATAAATAGCTAGAATATTATAAGAATTTTTCTAAGTATTTAAATTATATTATAGATAATAAAGTATATAATTATAGATTAGATAAGAGAAAAGATAAAGTTTAATACTTATTATTATAGTATTAAATACGCTATTAATTAAACGATAATCTCGCTCTCTATTATTAAAAGATAAAATTATTATATTAAATAAAAAGTATAAGATAACTATCTTAATAGATATCGATAGCGAGAAAATCTTTATATTATAATCTTTTATTAAAAAGATATAAATTTCTAAATCTAAATACGCGTTAATAATAATATATACTATTAATAATTATTAAATATTCTTATATAAAAATTATAATTTAATTTTTAATCTCGCGAATAGTCGAGAAAAAAAGTAAGAGTAAATCTTAAAGATATATATTATAAATATATAAGAATATAATTTTATTCTTAATTTCTCTTAAATCTATAATATCGATCTAAATATTTATTAACGCGAGTAGTTTTAAATCTATCGCGATTTTTTTATAAATAATAAAATATAAATAGATATTATAATAATAAATATAAAGTAATTTACGTTATTAATTAATATAGTAATTATATATAATTTAAAATAAGTATTTATTATTTTTTTATATTAGATTCTATTTAAAAATAATAAAAATAATTATAATAAAGTTATATAATATAATATTACGTAGCTAGATAACTTTAATATATTTAAATAACTTAAAGATCTATTAAAAGTCTTTTTAGAAGAGTTATTTAATAGTCTTAATATATATAATTAAATCGAGTATTTAATCGACTTACTATCTAAAAAGCTATCTAAAAATAATTCGATTTATAATATATTATATAATAAACTCGTAGCGATTAAAAATTATCTAGATATTACGCTTAAAAAAAAGTAAATTTAATTCTTAATTAGTTAGATTAGCTCGCTAGTATTATTTATTAAAAAATTAAATAACTCGCTATAATTATATATTAATTATCGAGAGTTTAATAAGATAACTATTAAGAATAATTACTTATTATTATTATTTTTAAAGACTTTAAAAAGATTTATATATACGAAGTATTTTATTAAAATTAATATTTATAATATATATTATAGAATATAAGTATAAAAGAAAGATAAGTAAAAAATTATTTTTTAAACTTGCTATAACTAATTTAAATATTAAATAATATCTTTTAGCCTTATAAATATCTCTATAATCTTTTAAACTTATATAAATAAAGTATTTAAGTTATATATCGATATCTTTTATATAATATACTTAGATAATATATTAATCTATTTCGAAATAAAAGAATTATATTAAAAGTATATATATAAAATACTACGCGTATTATTAAAGTATCGACTTTATATAAAGCTATCGAAATATACTTTTAATTATAATAAGATTATTTTTTTAATATTCTTAATAGATTAGCGTAGTATTTAAATAAAGTTATCGCGTATTAAGATTATTATTAAATAATTAAAATTAAAATCTACTAAGAATATCTTAATCTTTCTAAGATTTATAGACTTTTATTAATAATTTATATAAGGCTTTTTATAGATAGCTATATTTTTAATAAATTTAATTTAAGAAGCGAAGAAAAGCGAGATTAGATTACTCTTCGTATTTAATAAAAAAGTATATAAGACTTTTAAAATACTTAAGCGAGTATTTATTATTATATTTATACTAAAATATTATAATTAGAAAGTATCGCTTATTATAGAGATTAATACTTTTAATATAGATATAGATAGTATATTTAATTAACTAAGCGAAAATAAATAATAATATCTTATTACTTTTTCTAGCTATAAATTTAAAGATATTAAGCCTCGCTAGAATATATATAATAAGAAGCTCTATATAATTATACTAAGCTTTAAGAATTAGAGATATTACTTATAAGATAATAAATATCTTATTTATATAATCTTAAATTATAATAATTTATATTATTTTATAATAATAAAAGAGCTTAATACGAAGTAGATTCGCTAGATTAAGAAATTAGCTATATTTAACTTTATAATTAAATATTATAAGAGAAAACTTAATTCTATAAATATATTATTAAAAAGATTTAATATTATTAAATCGAATAATAGCGAGAATAATAATAATAATTTTCTTTTTATCTTATAAAATAAGCTTCGTAATTAGAAATATTAATTTAATTTATAAAAATATAATAGTATATTTATTATAGTTAAACTTATAGCGTTAATAAAGTAATTAAATAATATTATCGTTATAGATATCTAAGTTATTAATTTAAATAAGAGAATATTTAATAGATAAATATATATTCTAGATATTACGATATTATCTTAACTTTTAATTTATTAGATTTTAAAATCGAAGAGATTTTATTTAAAGCTATAGAAATTAATAGTAATATAGCTATTTAAATTATAATATAAGAATACTTTTATTATAAATAAGAAGTAATATTAAAAATACGTTACTAAATAGAATAAGCTTTCGAAATAGAGAGTTAGTAAGAATAAACTACTATATTATAGCCTCGTAATTTATATTTCTAATAATCTTACTATAAAGAAAGAGATTTTTTATATAAATTATAATAATTTTAATATTAAGTACTTCGCTTATAAGTATATTAAGAAAGATATTAGATTTAAATATTATTAAATAAATATAATAAGCGATATAGTAGAGTATATTTATACTTACTTCGATTATTAAAGAGTATAAATTTATTATTATAAGTTATATAGCGAGTTAACGTTAATCCTCTTAAATAATATAAATCTATTTTATATTATAATATTAAATTTTATTATAAATCTATTATCTATAAGAAATTTATATATTAATAAAATTTATAATACTATCTTAATCTTAATAAATAAGTTAATTAAATATATAATATAAATAACTATTAAAGATTTAAATATTAATAATCTTATTAATATCTTATAGCGAAGATTTATACTATTATATAATATAATATATAATTTAATTTTAAATTAAGACTCTCTATTTATAAGTAAACTCTAGATAATACTATATTAATATTTAAGTATAAAGTATAAATTAAATATTATATTCTATTCTTAGATTAATAA